ACAGACTCTGTGCCTCTCAGGGCCTCCCCAGGCTCCCCATCTGCACAGTGGGGTCTTCTGGCTTCTACTTCGAGGGACGCCATCAAGGTTAGGACATTTATATACGTTCCTGGTATCACAGGAGGCTGGGACATGCACGTGGCAATGCAAGAATGAGTGGGGGCCTGGGCAGGGCATAGAAACAGCTCAGAGGGGCCTGGGTCTGCTCTGGGATCCAGGCAAAGCCACTCTCCTCCTGCCCGTCTCCCAGCCCCCATGGGAAGGTTGCAGCGAACTGATTCCGACCTTGTCCTCTTGTGACCCAGACTTCCAGGGGCTCCCATTAGTTTTGGGCCCAGGTCCCAGGGCCTCGTCTGCGCCTCTGTGCTTGGAAATCCCCACAGTAGTTCCTGGCATTCCTGAATCCTGTCACACATCTCTGTGGAATTCTCTCCCCTCCAGCATGGGTGGCCTGTGTGACTGTGCTCTAAGGAATAGAATGGAGCATAATGATGGGATGTTGTTTTCAGCCTGATGGAACAAAGTCTGTAACCTCTCCTGGTTCCCTGTCTGTGTTCATTCTCTGTCTCTGTCTTCTCTGTGTGTCTCTGTGTCTCTCCCAGGAGCAGGATCTGTGGTCTCTGGGGGCGATGTGAGAAACCTCGGAGTCCTACCTTCTCCCCATTTCCCTCTCCTGTCCTCGTGCTTTGTTCCCTCCTAAGGTCTCCTCACTCTGACCAGAGCACTGACTCTGGAACCTTTTCCCAATGGGGACCCTGAGGCTGCAACACGGAGGGTCCTGACCTTGGTCCCCAGACCAGTGTGGCCCAGTGCTCTGCCACATTCTGCAAACCCAGGTCTTTAGGCCCCCAATCCCCCAGGCTGTCCTCTGGTCAGAAGGACCTCGAGGGAGGACAAAGCATTTACCCAGGACTGGGAGCACAGTGGGTCAGGGATAAAGATCCAAGGCCAACAGACTTTGCTACAAGCCTGTGGGACCCTAGGGACACCCCATCTCTACGGCACAATTGACAGAAGAGTAGCTGAGGCCTTTTGTACTGTAGCCTTGTCTGCACTTGGGGGGTATCTCTTCCTACTTCCAGTAGCCCAGGATGGTGATGGACACCAGGCCCCAGACCCTGTCCTCTCCCAGTGCCCTGGCAACCCCCCTGGGCCCCTTGGGGAACCCCCGGCCATCAGCCTGGCCTGTCTCCCCTCCCCATGCTATGGATCTGGGTTCTTGCCAGGGGTCCTGATGCCCCTGACCCCATGGCCCAGCGGTCTCCGACCTCTTTCTTCTTTCCCCCTTGTCACCCACCTCGCTCCCAGGGTGTCTGCCCCTTCTGACCCCAAGCTGGGAAGTCAGAGTGATGTGTGTGTGCACAGGTGCACATGCCTCTACCTGTCTGGGGATGCCCAAGGTCATGTCCCCGCATGGGATGGGGTGGGTAGCTATCCCCGAGGATCTGAGAGGTCTCACACCCAAAGTGAACCTCACGGGAGGGTTGGGGCTGGCCTGGGACTGGAGAGCAGCCCTGCTTCTTGGACTCCGTACCCTCCATTTGTCCTGGTGAGTCCCTGCCTCTCTTGACCCTAGGTTCCCAACTGTCCCTGAGGGTTGGACATGGAAATGCTTGAACTTGGCCACTCTTCCAGAGGTAGGTGGAGGACAGGTGCACCAGGCACACAGGCCTCCCTCCTGAGAGGGCCCGGTGTGCACAGGGGACCTGCACACAACACCTATACCGTGACCCCGTCCTGCGGCATGTGTGCACGAGACCCATGGCTCCGCACCTGACCGGTCCCCCATGTTCCTCACCACCGCCAAGGGCTCTGTGGCCCCAAAGTCCACTTAGCCCCGGAACCATGCCCACCCTGGGCAGCAAGCCTCAGGGTGCAAGGCCAGGCGGGTTGGACATCTGGGGACACAAAGGTCACTGAATACCCCCACACAGCTGGCCGGGAATGCAGACTGCCTCCCAGGGTCCAGCTAAGTGCAGGGCTGGGCCAGAGGACCTGGAAACAGCAGTGGAGGCCGACTCAGGGCAGGGGGAAGAGCAGTCCACCCCACTGCCCTTCTCTTCTCCTCCTTCTTCCTCACCTTCCTGGTAGGACCCTGGGACAGAGGTCCAGCCTGTCCCTGGCTTCAGCCCTGGCTGGAGTCAGAGATGTAGGAAGGAGGCCAGGGAGAATGCCCGAGTGTGAGGGATTTTGTTACTGTAATGAGGGACCCTGTGGGCATTCAGGGATTTCAGCCCTTTTTAGACGTTAGCAGTGGCCCCAGGACTCAGCCCCTGCCCCATCCTTCACCCTCCACGAGGCCCCGCATTTCCCCCAGCCCAGTCCTTGTCTGCAGCCAGTCCTCTCTCCAGCCCCAGGAAATCCAGCTGCTCCGGGGGCTGCAAACTCATTATGAGCTGGAGCCGAGCCAGCGCTATGGGGTCTGGTTCCGGGGCCTGGAGCCACACAGTGGGGAGAGGTGATTTGCCACAGGAGCTGGGAGAGGGCCGAATGGACTCTCCGTGGGGGCCGTGGCTCCCTGGTCAGCGCAGGCCCTGTTGTGTGCCGGCCCCTAGGGCACCCAGACTCCAGCTCCGAGGCAGGCTCCAGGAGGGAGACCAGAGTGTGACTCCTGCTAGCTCCAACTGTCACTGTGTCCTGTAACTACAGCCTGTCCCACCAGCTGTACTCCCCTTCCTAGTCAGCCAGTAACACCCCCAGGGCCAAGAAGAACAGCCCATCATCCAGCTCAGGGTCCAGTGTGTGTCTGGGCAGGCAGGGGAGGGCTCGCTCTGGGCTCAGGGAATCCCTGGCTGGGCTAGTGGGGACTCGGGAGGGCTGGCCTTCCAGCCCCTCTGCTGAGCAGCCCTGTGACTTGCGCCGTTTGCCTTCCCTCTCTGGGCCTCACTCTCCGCCTTTGTGCAATGCTGTGATCCTTAGTGATCACTCCTGTGGCAGGAACATATGGGATGCTGGTGACTGACCTATGATGGGCACAGAGCCTGTCTTGCAGAGTGCAGTGGGGGATGGTGCACAGTGTTACCAGCGAGCACTCCTCCTCCCAAAGCCATTCAGCCTTTCCACGCAGCTGCCAGGCCCCTGGGAGACCACACTCCTGATACCAGCTCCCTCTGTGTGGTTCTTCCTCAGCAGTGGGACAGGGTGGGGACCCTGGACATGGGGCCAGCTGCTCCGTCTGAGGGCACAAGAGCAAGGAAGACTTTCCCTGGTGTCCCCCAAGGCCACGTAAGAGGGGAGGTGGCTGCCCCCAAACAGGACATTGAAATTCTGCTTCTGTTAGAGCCTGAGCATTGGGCTTTGGTTCTTTCACTTGCTGGGCCGACGGGACACACACGCTCTCCATGACACCTCCTCAAATGAAGAGCTCTTGCAGGGTCCTGGGAGTCCTGGAGCTGGGGAGGGGAGAAGGGCTTTTCCCCTCCCTGGTTCCTGAAGGAGACCTGTCCTCTCAAAGCAAGGATCATTTCAGGTCATGAGCCTGGGCCAGGAGCAGGGCTGGCCCTTCATGGCTCCCGACTCTGGGGCTGAGTCACAAGAGGATTTTAGGATCAGAAACCTAAGTGGGATCCCCAAACTGACTCCAAATCCCTTGTTATTCCATACGTGGTAGTATTTCCCTCTTATCTCTGGTCTTCTGGATCAGGAAACATGTCAGGTCTCAGGATTTTCTTGTTGTGCGGCCAACTGGAATGAATTCTGCTGGCCTGTTTGCCTCTGCCCATCATCATCCTGAAGTCTGGAGGACCTTTGAGTAAGATACTCGAAGATGCCTAGGAATAGAGACATTATAATATTTTTTTCTGATATTAAAGTTACTGAAAGAACTATCTTTTTAAAATTGATTCAGCCTCTGGTATTTTTCAGAGTGTGCTGTAACACCAGTCTGAAATAATATTTAAAAACATTCCGCTCAGCCTCTTCTACACAGTAGGACAGTGCTTGTAAACTATTCCCTTACCCACAATGACTTATTTTGCAACCATCTTAGTGTTTATATGGTATGACTATGAGTTATGTTAGTTAAAATCTGCAGAGAAAGAACTAAGACAGTGTATCCAAGCTTTAGGGGGACTTCATGTTTAAATTAGTGTTGTGACAATGAGCTACTCTCTTTTATTCTGTAGTCCAAGGAAATTGTGCCAGACATCTCTAAGATGTTGGGAAGTTCTAAAAATCTGACTTGAAATTATCTGTGTGCTTCAGGGATTTGGGCAGGATAAAGGGAGGAGCACAGCTTCTGTGAACACCTCTGTTACCTGTGTTGACCATGGAACAGGTACACTTCTGTAGGCATCATTTTGATTTCTTGGTACTGTTGTTAAAGGTGCTTTTGTCTCAAGTTCCTCTCTTTAGTTGTAATTAGAATGATAGTGGAAATTTCTGTCTTTTACCATCCATGGGCCCGGATCCTGGGCTCCTAGGGAAGCTATCCTTTAACCTTTTACCAAACTCAAAATGACTGGGCAAAACCTCAGAGCATGGGCCTATTTCTGCCCCAAGCCCATGTTGTATATCTGCTTCCAGGAGAAAAAGATAATCCAAAAATGCCATTGCAAACATAAAGAGAAGAAAAAAAATGAAAGAACCCCTCCCGCTCCCATAAGATTAAAGTCATACGGTCCTGTACATACTGAAAACATAAGAAAAAGTCTGTAACTTTCTGGAATGTGCTTTCTCATGATGATGTGTAAGTCTGTATGTAAAACAAAACAGAAGGAATAGAGAAACCTGCCCCGAATGTTCCTCCCCCGGAGCACTCCCTTCCTTGTGAATATTGTGTCTCCCAGGCAGCTGACCTGACTTGGTCTCTTCCTTTCTCTCTAAAATGTTTAAGAGAGTTTGTCCCTTTAGTGTCGACGATAACAATATGTTTTCTTTTTAAGTGAAAAACCAGTGTTCCTGGTTCCACAGAAGGGCGGCTGTTCTCGTTCATCTTGGAGCTTCTCTGCAGAACCCAGCATGTCTGTATTTTCCAGCACAAATGGGTTCATCCTAGAGGGATGTTCGGAAGGTCTGACAAGCACTCTCCACTCCATGGGTGACACCAGGAGGTGAAGCTCATCCCGCTTAAAGCATTACTTATTGGGTCTTAAAACTGCCTTGGAAATGTGGGAAACCATTGCTTTTCCTTTTTTAAAAGATTTTATTTATTATTTGACAGACACAGTGAGAGAGGGAACACAAGCAGGGGGAGTGTGAGAGGGAGGAGGCTTCCCGCTGAGCAGGGAGCCAGATGTGGGGCTTAATCTGGGCACCCTGGGATCATGACCTGAGCTGAAGGCAGAGGCTTAATGACTGAGCCACCCAGGCCCCCAACCACTGCATTTCCTAAAGCCCGAGACTGGGAAGGTCTGAGAGCAGCTGATCTTGCCAGGAGCCAGGAACAGCTCTGCAGGCAGGGCTGGTGCAGGAAGGGAAGGTGTAGGCATCTGAGGGTGGTCTGCAGCCGGGGGGTCCCCAGAAAGGGCCAGATGTCTGGAGGAGGGGGCCCTGCCCATGACCTGCCCATGCCTGCCCCGCAGACCAGGTGTTCCAGCGAGGAGGCCCTGCCTCCGGGAGTACCTGTAAAAGCCTGGTGGTGTGGGTCTCCCGGTACAGGGAGGTGCAGCATCCAGTGGACTCAGGGCACCACCCTCCCGGACTGATCAGCACGTGGGGGTGGAGCTATGTCCTCTGCAGGCAGACCCAGAGGTGCCTTACGATGCAGAGAGGTGGCAGAAAAGGGGCGCTGGAAGAGTTCCTGGGTGGGGGCCCTGGCTCGGTAAGTGTGGGCTGTGTGCTGGGGTGGGGATCCTGGGCAGAGGGTCCTCGAAGGGCACATGACATGAGTTCACTGTGGGGACTCAGATGGGTTTTCTTTTTCCCTTGAAAGTCTCTTCTGCCTGATGTCCACCAACTACCTCTCTCCCCCAGACCCCTAAACTCCAGGGTCCTCACTCATCCAAGCTTTTGTGGGATGGGTTGCGGACATTTCAGGGTTTTCCTTGTTCTCCAGGAAGAGTGCATGTAAAGACAGCACACGGTCCCCAGCCTCAGGGGGTGCCCCGTTCCTTGGCACAGTGCAGGTAATGGATCTTGAGCAGCACCCCGAGTTCAGCAGGGTGTCCCCTGTTCCCCACCCCCCACAGGTGTGGCGCTAACAAGTGCCAGAGCAAGTTCCCCAGCTACAGCATTTTGCACTCTGTCCGGGGGGTTGATGGGAATGGGCTGTCAGGGTTGTGTACGAGGGTCCTCCAGATGCCGGCCCACCCCCAGCACAGGTGTGGCGCTAACAAGCTCCAGAGCCAACCCCCAGCTTCAGCATTGTGCCCCGTGTTCCCCGGGGATGGTGGCAACGGCTGTCAGGATCCTGCACGAGCGTCCTCCAGGTGGGGGCCTGGAAGCTGGGGGAAACCAGACCCCACTCAAGTTGCATGAGGAACAGGCGAGTTGAGGTGTTCCTTTGGAAGGATAATTTCACTTTTCTGAAAAAGACAAAGTCCTTGGTCTACTTTAGAATGTTGATAATTACTACTTAAGAAACAAATGTGTGTTTCCAAAATGAAAAGAAAAGAGAAAAGAAAAGAAACAAGTATGTGTTTTCCATTCTCCCAGAAACAGAAGCAGGTGTGCCGGCCTTAGGTCAGAGGCGCCTTCTCATCCCCACCTGACAACACTTCTCCACTCTGGCTCCACGAGACCCGAAGGTTTGAACAACAGCGTCTGAGTCAGGCAGGCAGCTTGTCACAGGACGCCCGCGTTCCGTGAAAGCAGCAGGTACGTCGGGTGCGATGTCACTTACATGTCAGGACTGGAGGTAGAACTTCTTTGCAACTGAAAACCTCCTGGGCTTTTCTCTTTTCTCTAGTTGGGCCACGAAGTCAAACTGAAGCGCTGTCCGCATTCTGGATTCGGTGCGAGAGTTCCTTAGTGTCCCCGCAGGTAGGACATCGCAAGGAATGCCATCTTCTCGTTCATTTACTGCGTACAAAATGTCATCTGCACACCTGCTTCCTAGGAAGTCACTTGTACCAGAGAAGGAAGATGAGATTTGCTCCTAGTGTGTTCTTACGTATAACTGGATCCTTTGTTCAACAGCGTCTATTCCCTTGGGCCGGGGGGATGGTCGAACGCCACCATCTAGAGTTCGGTGGCTTTCTGTGGCCGGATAGAGACATGGATGATGTCATTTGTCAAAGCTGATGTTTCATAATTGATTAGTCTTTTCATCAAAAGAGTTACAATTAGGGTCAAGGGAAGATTCAAAATTATTCAAAGTAGACATTTATCATTTAAAAGGAAAGCTTGACTTTCTAATTTGACTCAGTGTATCGTCTAGATATTTTGACGTGCTGTATTTTCTGTGCGGTTTTCTTGGTGGTGGAGTCAGGAGGAGAGACTTTGGGAATTCTCCTGGATAGACGCATGCTGCTGGCTTCAAGGGGCTTGGCGGATGTCAGGAGCCCTGGGGTGAGTTCTGGAACTGCTTGCCTGACACTGGGTGGGTCAGTTATCCCACAGAGTTTCTGTTTCCTCCTTAAGAAGTTGCTGGCAGGTAGCATCTATGGATGCAGAAATTGCACAGAAATTGTTCTACATAATGAAGAGTAAATAAAGCGAGGTGATTTGGGCTGTATCATTCTATAAATAAGTTTCACGACCCCCTTCGCAGGCGATGGTATTTACTGCACGAGGAGTGCTCAGAAGGCCGCAATGAAAGACTCAGATCTCACAGCAGGTTCAGGTTCCACCAATAACGTGTCTAACAGTTTGCCCAGGTAGGAAGGTGAGTGGAGAGAAACACGACACATTTATGAAAGCCTTGGGCCAGTGTCACTCTGACAAGAGCGGGGAATCCTGGAGCTCTGCAGCAGACGGGGCAGTTCCAGGTCTGGGGAGAGCTCAGGGGTCCCGCAGGAGAGTGGAGTGCATTCTGCAGGATGGTGTGGGCAGGGCTGGCTCTGGGGGTGGCTGTGTGTCCCTCATGTGACAGTTGTGACAGGTCAGGGCTGTGAGCAGGTTCCTGGCTGAGGACAGGGGAGGTCCAGGTGGGGAGCTGGTGGGCGCCATCATCTGTGCCACCAGCCTCAGCATCACGCACGAGCTCTCCGTCTGTCCCTGTCCCTCCAGTTCCCAACTGTTCTGCGTCGCCTGGCCAAGACGTTGGTTCAGGCTTCTTTCTTTGAGTGTGTGTGTAGTTTCACAACCTCGATGATGAAATGTTGGGTTGTCAGAAGGTCTGTTCCTCTTGTATTTCCTGCTCTCCTCTAATAAGTCACCGCTGTGAATCGTACGGGGCAGTGGAAGGGGCGATCTGTGCATTTTTATTTCCTGTTGTAGTTAAACAATGGGAAACAAATCTTCTGAAATATTAAAAGAATTCTTTGTGAGTGTTCATGTTTTTCTCTTCCGTGAACCACATTCCAATATTAGAAAATATTTTTTTAAAGTAAAACACAGGCGCAGAGCTGTAACAGGGCACAGTGCCCTTTGTGAGGGGGAGAAATGGGAGAGGAGTGTAGGTTGCTGAGTAGCTTAGGGAGTGGCTCCTTGTGCTCCCAGAGAAAATCTCCCCTGGGGGGGGGGGGGCTGCTCACCTGGTAGCCCATCCTGGGTTCTGAAACCTGACCCAGTGAGTCCCTTGTGACTTGACCTGGGGAATTGAGGAAGAAAACAGAGTGAATCCTGGAGGGCGCCTGCATCCTTTGCACTCCCGACGACTCCACGAGGCCAAGGAACCAATCACCTGTGAGGCGTGTCAGGATCCCTGAGGGTCTGGACTTTGCTTCCTGCGAAAACGCTGTGTCTTCATCCTCATCTGAACCAGAGCCGTGTTGTCTGGTTATGGAGACCCAGACCTTTACATGACCACGTCATCATTAATCTTGTTATTTTAAGCAATATAGACATTGACTTCGAGATCCAAATACCAAAAGGAGAAACACAAGGTCAGACAGATATATGAGGACTGAACTTGTGGCCCCTCTCATTAGTATGGGCAGCGCAGGGTGGCCCAGATGAGAAAGAACACGGGGTTCTATTTGGATAGAAGTGAGCTGTGCACATGGAGTTCTTCATTCTCTCTTCTCCCTTACTTCTCTGAGGGGAAAATGGAGAGGTGCCTGGAGCTTGGTTTCTGATTTGAAGGAATGGAAGACTAGAGATTCGAGAGCTGTGTTCATGCTGGCGAGTTGCTACGTGCCCAGTGAGTGAGGGTTTGAAGCCTGGACTTGGAAGTGTTGGTGTTCAGGGAGGATGTGGTCCGAGTTTCCTGCACACAGAGTCACTGGCTGGTCTGCCTAAATAGACCCGTTCCTGCCTTTTGAAGGGTAGCTTGAAGGTGGCTCGAAACCCTCGGGCACTGGAGGAATGCTCTGGGAGAGACACCTGGGTGGGCCAGTGTAGACAAGCCCAGGGGATTCCAGAGCTAACAACGAACACGTTTCTGAGGCTGGAGATGGCTTCTTTGTGAGCAGCACTGTGCTGGGGAAGAAAGCAGTCTCCGGTGTCGGGAGTCACCGTGTCAGCAGGTGTGGGCCTGGCAGGGGAGTCAGATCAGAGCTGGGAGGTTGTGAGCCATGGTGGTGGCCTTCGCTCTGGACGCACAGGCCAGCTTGTTCCAGGGACGGGGCTCTGCTCCCAGCCAGCTCTCCTGCTGCAGACGTGATAGGAAACTGGCTTCCTGTCAGGTTCTCAGGTGCTCGTCTCAGCAGGGGGCTTGGTGGGAAGCAGCCCCCAGGCAGCATTCTGGATTCTCACCCAGTGTGCCCCTTGCTTGCTCGGATGAGGCACCGCAGGTGTCCTCTCTGGCATCTGTGAATTCCGCAGGCAGAAGCTCTTCTTCCAGAGCCACACCCCTGAGAAATCCTCCGCTTTCCTGTGCTGGGTGGAAGAGGTCAGTGTTCATTTGGAACTGAAATCTCAGCTCCTGCCATTAGGTTCCAAGGCCACACGACACACCAGTCTCCTTGGAGCTCTCGGTCCACGTGGGGCCTCACGTGTGAGACTGAGACCGAACCTGGGCGGTGGTGGCTGATGCAGGTTCCTTCCTGAAAACTGTGTGGCAAAGCTGGTGTGTGATGACGTCCCAGGAAAGAGGGCAGGTGCCCCAGCACAGGGAGATGCCCGACGTCTATCACAGGCGGCTGGTGCAGGGAGGAGAGCTCTTTTTCCCAGGACCTTGGCCAGAGGGAGATGTGGACCCTGGGATGCTTCTCTGCTCAGCTTTCTCAGGTGAGCAGATCAGGCAAGGGGAGGAAGTGTGTGTGCTCCCCTGGAATCGAGGAAGGTGTCTGGTTCCAGGTTTCACGTGCAAGTGGATTCCTCTTCTGGCTCGTTTTCCTGATGGTCTTCAGGGTGCCACAGGGGGACCCATTGTCC